CTGGAACGATGAAAGCTAAATCAACGTTAGGTATGGGAATGAAAAGAAAGAAAAAGTCTTTAATTAGGAAGAAAAAAAGGAAAACCATGTGTAAGAAAAAGCGACTAGCATTAAGAAGAGTTGTTGATGCTGCTAGAAAAAGTATGCTACCCGATCATAATTCTGGAGAATCAATTCAAGCTGCTCTGATTGGTGCAAAAGAAGCAATAAAGAATGCTGGTGGTAAATCAAAAATTTTGTCACCGCGAATTCTACCTGTACCTTCTAAAGTTGGTGGTATTTTACCACTAGTTCCAATTTTTGCTGGACTTAGTGCTTTAGGAGCTCTTGCTGGTGGAGCTTCAGGTATAGTGAAAGCTGTAAATAAGGCTAAAACTGCCAAGGAACAACTTGTTGAAGCTCAACGACATAATAAAGTAATGGAAGCAATATCGCTTGGAAAAGGATTACATCTCAAACCCTACCGACAAGGACTTGGTCTTCATATTAAACCATACATTCAGGGGAAAGGATTAAAAAAGAAGAAGAAACCAACATTAAGGAAGAAAAAAAACTTGTATTGAAGCTACCTCACCGTCCTCTAACTGATTTTGATCTGTTGAAATATGCTAAAACTATGAAAATACCACATTTTCGTGGAGTTTTCATGCGAAATGAACTATCTTTAAAAGGACCTTATCGATATGAGTCAGGAATTATTAACTTAGATAACAAAGAAGGCCCAGGAACACATTGGGTGGCATATAAAAAATGTAATAACGAAATAATGTATTTTGATAGTTTTGGCAACCTTCCTCCACCAACAGATCTAATCATATACTTGGGTGATGGTAGCTTAATAAAATATAATCATGAAAGATATCAGAATTATGATACTTATGTGTGTGGACATTTATGTTTAAAATTTTTATGTAAACAACTTAATGTTAAGAGCAGCTTTAGTCTATATAAGAACGTGTAACTTTGTAATCTTTTAGTATATGAACAACTTAATGTTAAGAGCAGCTTTAGTGTATATAAGAACGTGTAACTTTTGTAATCTTTTAGTATATAAACTGACAGCATCATGAGTGATTCGTTTACTTTAACACTAAGTGGAAACAGTTCAGTTCTTGAATCTGAATATTTCCCACCAATAGAACTTAATCCAAATAAAAATTATGTCCTCGGTCTTGTTGAATTACTGACTTTTAATTCTATTCCCAATATTGATCAAGGTAACAATAAATTTTACATTGGTAATCATATAATTGATATACCAACTGGGAGTTATGAAATCACAGATATTGAAACATGTATAAAAAATTCAGTGAAACTTGGAACTGTTATTAGTATAAAACCTAATAACAATACATTGCGCAGTTTAGTTGAATCAAATTTACCAATTGATTTTAAACATAAAGATTCAATTGGTAAATTATTAGGATTTACACCCCGGAAATTATCACCTAATCAAACGCACATCTCTGATTTACCTGTAGCCATTCTCAAGGTAAATTCAGTCAGAGTTGAGTGTAGTATTACATCTGGAGCATATATAAATAATCAAAAAGCCCACACTATCCATGAATTCTTCCCTAGCGTTCCACCAGGATATAAGATTGTGGAAGTGCCAGCACACGTCATTTACCTTCCGATTGTTGTCAAGACAATACATAATATTCAACTCCGCATTGTCGATCAGGACGGTGATTTGATTAATTTTCGAGGAGAAACTATAACTACCCGATTGCACATAAAGTCAATGTAATGGGAATTGTATATAATCAAAAAGTTGGTGGAAACTATAAAAGTCAGCCAACATGCCAAAGACAAATCAGTTTAAATTTGTCTCACAAGGTGTTAACACCTCAGAATCACCTGTTCCTGAAAAAACTAGGTCTAAAAGTTATACCTCAAGGAAAACGCCAAGACAAATAATTTATATATTTTTTGGGTGTTGTTGCAACAAAAATGGACGAAATTCTCAACATTCCAGCAGCAGTGAATTTTGATGAGTCCATAGCTCATTATGAAATTCATGCTCATCAACCGTATGCTTCATCCTCTTTTAACAATAGTGATGAAATTCGAATTGCAGTTCAACATCAAGATTTATGTATTCTACCGAGTAAAAGTTCATTGCACATATTTGGGAAATTGACTAAAAATGATGGTATTGCTGTTACAGAAAACGTGCACTTAAGTAGCAATGCAATATGTTTTTTATTTGATGAAATTCGCTATGAATTAAATGGTATCGAGATTGATCGATGCAAATACGTTGGACATACAACTATTATGAAAAATTTAGTATCTCTGACTCCACCTCAATTAAATCTAATTGAAAATGCAGGGTTTTCAAAAATTACAGCTGATGCAAGAATTTCTTTAGAAAATGGATACTTTGATATTACAATACCACTTGGCATGATTTTTGGTTTTGCTGAGGATTATAAGAAAATTGTTATGAACGCTAAACATGAACTTATTTTAACAAGAGCACGTAATGACACTAATGCTATAATTCAAACAGGTCAAGGAGCTGATGAAGAATTTAAAATTTTCATCAATAAACTAGAATGGATGGTACCATACGTTTTACCAGCTGATAATAATAAAATAAAATTATTGAAATTTATTGAAAAAGATCCTTTAATTTCAATAAGTTTTCGATCATGGGAAATGTACGAGTATCCGTTACTTCCAACAAGTTCAAAAGTCCTATGGCAAATAAAAACATCAACACAATTGGAGAAACCACGATATGTAATTGTAGGATTTCAAACAGCAAGAAAAGATAAACGAAAAAAATATGCCTGTCATTTTGATCATTGTAACATTACAAATGTTAAACTATTTTTAAATTCACAATATTACCCTTATGGAAATTTAAATCTAAACTTTGATCAAAATCAGTATGCTCTGCTTTATGAAATGTATGCTAATTTTCAAAGTTCTTACTATGGAAAAGACTCAGAACCTATTTTAACAAGGGCTATTTTTAAACAACTATTTCCTCTAATTGTTATTGATTGTTCAAAACAAAATGAGTTTCTTAAACAAGCATCAGTAGATGTACGTTTAGAATTTGAATCAGGAAATAATATGCCGGCTGAGACCACTGCATATTGCCTCATTATTCATGACCGCGTTGTACAATATAAACCAATCAGCGGCGTCGTCAAGAAGCTGCTGTAGAGGAGAGGGGATAAAGTGGAGGGAGTATGATTGAGTATAAATGCAGTAGTTTTCAGCCAAAAAATTCATTTCTGGTTCAACATGGAGTTCATTGTAGACGTCCAAGGATTTAAAAGACCCTACAACGATTTTATTTTCAAAGAGTTGGCAATACTTCCTCTTCAACCAGATGCTCAACCACTTGTCTACCTATTTGAATCACCTTGTACGTGGAATTCATTGCCAGGACGCTATAAAAGTGAAAATCGCTGGTTAACACACAACTACCATGGAATCCATTGGGCAGCTGGAGATGTCTCATATGATGAACTTCGTCCTATTCTACGAGAAATACTTCAAGGCGCTAGCGTAATTTACGTTAAAGGATTAGAAAAGAAAACATGGTTAGAGAAATATGTGTTGAATGTACAAAATTTAGAAGATTTCGAATGTCCTTCTTTAAAAAAACTTAAGACTGATTTGTTAACAATATGTACGCATCATACTCTTTATACTGAAAATTGTGCTGTCAGAAATGTTAAAATTCTTCGCGACTGGTTTTTGGATCCTCCAAACAAATATGTAAGTGCTGCTACAAAAGGCTTTGATGAAGTTGATTCTACTAGTTTAAAATGTTTTTACGAAAATTGTGAATCTTTTTTTTGTAAATAGTTTAATATGTTTTTTCAAATAAAATATTAATAATTTCAATTTAATACTTTGTTCGTTAATTTTTAAAACCTTTAATGTTAATGTTTAATGAAAATAAACTTATATAGGGTGAAGAAAATAATTTTAAAACCAATTTACAATTAAATTTTTTTTTTATTTTTAACAGTTATTTTATATGTATACATTTTTGTTTTAACATAACTTTTATTTCTTAAATTAATTTTTTTCTTTTTTTTTCACTTTAATAATTTAAATTCAACGATGTTGTATGGTCCTCCAAGGTACTTCAATTGTAGGTTCTTTAGGGCTGCAGCTTCTTGCATCATTTTTAAAGTGTTAGGCTCATCATCTTCGAAATGTTTAGCGAATCTGGTTGGAAGATATGTGATAAAGTCTGCGTCGAGTTCTACGATGATTCTGGGTCCGTATTTCGTCTGCACCTTTTTGATTTTTGTCACAAAGTATCGGCCATTTGTCACTAATTCCGATAGCGGCTTTGTTGGCAGAAAACCCTCCAATCGTCCAACTGCATTGACTTTTTCTAAATCCATATTTTTTTTTGTTAAAAAAAGATCTGTAACAGAAAAATAGAAAATATTCTGAAACATTTTTAAAAAAAACATAGAACTGAAACATAAAATTAAAAGAAGAAACCTGAAACATAAAAAGGAAACTGAAAAAAAGAAACTTGAAACATTTTTATGTTTCAAGTTCAACAAAGCTAAAACAAAAACCTGAAACAAAAAAAAATTTAAGAATAAACCTGAAACATAAAGATAGAACTGAAACAGAAAATTGAAAGGAGAAATCTGTAACAGAAAAATAAGCTGAAAGAGAATAAAAAGAAAAACTTGTAACTGAAAAAAAATCAAAGGAAACCTGAAACAAAAAAAAAATTTAAGAAAAAACCTGAAACATAAAAATAGAACTGAAACAGAAAATTAAAAGGAGAAATCTGTAACAGAAAAATAAGCTGAAAGAGAATAAAAAGAAAAACTTGTAACTGAAAAAAAATCAAAGGGAACTGAAACAAAAAAAAAATTTAAGAAAAAACCTGAAACATAAAAATAGAACTGAAACAGAAAATTAAAAGGAGAAATCTGTAACAGAAAAATAAGCTGAAAGAAGGAATCCATACTTACTGTTTTAATGTTGCAAATAGTCCCGGAATGCTGAAACATAAATGAGCTGCCTTTCTTTGCACACCGGTTTAAATCACCAAGTCCCCACTTTCTCTTTACCCCCACTTTCTCTTTCCCCCTCTCACAACATGCGCACGCATCATTTGAATGTGACTAGCATGAGGTAATATTTTAAAAAAATATTTAATGATTTTATTTTGTATAAAAAAATATTTAATTATTAAATTTTTTTTTTTTTAATAAGTATTTTAATCAGAATTGTCATGACGTTAAGGTGAAGATTTGCAGGATGTGTCATCGCTTAGAGTGGGTGGTGTTTCTGGAGGAATTAATTCATGTAATTCCGACATCTATAAAAAAAAAATTATAAGTTTTTAGTAAAACAATTTTATAAAAAGTATGTTAATAGTCATGTTTTATTCCAAGAAGTTTACCTCATCTTCACTAATATTAATTTCTAATACGTCACTGTTCGGACTCTCTGGTAGAATCATGCCGTATTCATCCAATATTTGATTAATATCAGGCAAAGATTCGAACATGTTGTATGCATTCAACATTTGATCAATGTCAGGGACGCATTCTAATAATTCTGACAACTATAAAAGAAAAGCCATAAAATTTTTTTTTTTTATAAGAAAAGAATAATTATAATTTAATCTATTAAAAAAAAGAAAAAAATACCTCTTCTTCACCAAAGTTAATATCAAATATATTAATATCATTATTATTATCATTTGTGTCTTCATCATCGCTGCTAAGAATGATGGTTGAACCCTGACTATCATATATTTCAACCTCATTATCATCGGAGTTCTCATCCGAATCCTCATAAGAATTATAATAATATTCATCAAATATAACATATTCTATGTCCTCTTCCCCGCTACAGAGTTGATTAGAGTTTGGTAAGAAATTTGACATTTTTACTTTGAAACTGCAAAAAAAAAAAAAAAAAAACATGTTTGAAAAAGCGCCTAGATAAGAAAGAGAAAGGAAACTGAAAATAAAATGTACCGTTCTACTACAGTTTCTACTGCTGCTTCTGATGTTGCTGCAACTGAAAAAGAAATAATGACTCTTCGAGCTCGTGCGCTAACTTTTATGCCTCTTCAACGCTCCCCACTACAGTCACATGACATCCAACACCCTCCGCGGCAAACTGAAGAACTAACACTCATTGGCGCGATGTTTTAAAATACGACATAAATTAAATATTTTATTTAAATCAAATTCAATTTTAAGTAAGTTAGGTTACACTTACTTTTACTAGAACAATTTTGTGAATTTCATTTAATTTTAGTTATTTCAGGATAATTTGATATAGCAAAAATTATTTGTACTCACCTTAGATGTGTTTGAAAATTATTTTACCTAATTTACTTTTTCTTTTAATTTAATTTAATGCAATTCGTATTATATAAGAATTTTTACAAAATTAAAACTAAAAAAAGTATATGGAAAACATTTAATTATATGAAGTTCTCGTAAAACACTAAGATGTACGTTAATTTTTTTAAAAAATGTAATTTTTATAGAATAAAATCAAAAAAAGTATATCACAAAAAAAACAAAAAAGTTCTTCACAAAACTATAAAATAGAACGCTTCAAGTAATTTTTCACTGAAAAAAAAAAATTTTTTTTATTAAAAGTCAAGAAATTTTTTTTCAAAACAATAAACACATACAATATAAAAAAAAACAAATAAATTCACTTCGTGCAAGAAATATTTTTTATTTTTAGCAATACTTGCAAAACTTTTTAAAAAATAAACACAAATTATAAAAAATAAAATAAACACAAATTAGAAAAAAATAAAGGCCATACAAAAAAAACTTCACACAAAATAAAAGAAAATTTCACACAAGATAAAAAAAAATAAACACAAATTATAAAAATAAAATAAACACAAATTAGAAAAAAAATAAAGGCCATACAAAAAAAAACTTCACACAAAATAAAAGAAAATTTCACACAAGATAAAAACAAAAAAATAAACACAAATTATAAAAATAAAATAAACACACATTTGAAAAAACAAAAGGCCATACAAAAAAAAACTTCACACAAAATAAAAGAAAATTTCCCACAAGATATAAAAAATAAACACAAATTATAAAAAATAAAATAAACACACATTAGAAAAAAAATAAAGGCCATACAAAAAAAAAGAAAAGAAAAAAACTTCACACAAAATAAAAGAAAATTTCACACAAGATAAAAAATTAAACACAAATTATATATAAAAAAATAAAATAAACACATTTGAAAAGAAAACAAAAGGCCATACAAAAAAAAACTTCACACAAAATAAAAGAGAATTTCATACAAGATAAAAAAAAACTTTATACAAAAAAAAAAAAATGAAGGCGATGACAGTAACATCTAATAGATTAACTTTTTCTGGACTTTTTACATGACCTCTTGTCCATTTTTTTCCTTCTTTTTTTATTGCTTAAAGTTGAGCCTGTCGATAAAGATGAATCTGAAGTTGAGCCTGACGATGATGATGAGCCTGACGATGATGATGAGCCTGATGATGAAGATGATCCTGATGATGAAGAGGAGCCTGATGTAGAAGATGAGCTTGACGATGAAAATGGGATTTTTTTCTGATTATCATCATCATCATCTTTATCTTCCTCGTTCACGGCCTCGATATTTTCATTTACCTCAGAGGGTGCATCTGAGTCGACGTTTGCAAAATTCTCTGGGTTCTCTTCCGGTTCCGACTCCTCAAATGAATCTTCTTCGGAAAAACTCAAGTTTTGATTTGGAATTTTAGCACTTTCAGTTGGAATAGATGCTGCCTGCAATGGTAGATCTGCTTCTTCACTGTTTATTGGTGGCTGGATTGCAATGAGGTTTGTAGAGGGCAAAATATCCCATCTAGATACTTTGCACCGTTTTTTTGTTTCTTGTTGTCTTCTCTCTTTTAAAATATTTAATTTTAATTGTACCTTTCGTACTCGTTCCGCAAGGTCAACCTTGACAACGGATTCGTCTTTCTGCTGACACTAGAAATATCAATTAATTTCATTAATTTAAGTGTGTGTAAATCATGGAAAGTTTTATTCTTATTTTCTTATATAGGGCAGAGTCGGGTAGCCCCGTCATCTTAACGTTTTCAGGTTATTATATAAAAATAATATAATATATAAAATATAAAAATAATGGATAAATAAGTCAGCGCAACTTTAGTAAATTGACTTGTTTTGAAGGCAAAATTTTTAGACAAGGTTTTTTACTCTTTTAGGGTGACCATTTGTTCAAATAATTTTAAATTTACATTATGAGAACATCTCAAATAAAAAAAAACAATTTACTATTATCGTAAATATAATAATAATAATAATAATAATTTATTAATTACCGTGTGTGGCCACGGCTACCCCATGGCCATGGTTACCCAACTCTCCCTTATAGAAGCTAATTATTTTTGCATTTGACTTGTGAAAAAATAGTCACAAAAATATTTATTTAGATTAATATGTAAATAAAAAAATATTTTTAAAAATCGTTTACCTTTGGAATTGAAGTCAAAGAAAAATGTGGCACAGGCAGTGTTATTGTTGTTCTTGTTCTTTGCTTTTTTTTTAATCGAGGATCATTTGGATAAACTAGTTGACATGCTTCACAGGAACAATAAACGCTTTCCTTCGGTGGACCTGGTGCATACGACCTTAAATAAAACGGATCTGTCGTTCGGAAAAAACGACAACTCTCGCAATCGCATCCTTTTCTTTGTTCATCAACCTAGAAAATATTTGTTCTTTTTCTTATAACAATATATATATAAACATAACATATTTATGTACATTAATTTTACACTTACCATCGTTATATCCAGCTGTTTTTCATCAATAGCGGCCATTTGCATTCACGGCCAGAGTAGAGAAGGTTAGTATACTACAGTAAAACCAAGGTTTATGAATTAAGGATGCTTTCAGCAGCTGTCTAACTTCTGATTGGCTGCTCTTATTTTCTCTATTAGAAATAGCCAATCAGCGTGTTTTTAAATAAAATCGATACAAACATTTATATTTAACATTTATATTTAACATTTAATATAAATAGCTTATGATTATTATATGAAAAATTATTATTGTTTAATATACTATAATTATATACTAATACTAATTAGATAAAAATAATTAAAACACATTATTATTATTATTACCTAGTACCACCATGCCTAAGGACTTTAAGTTGTTTTAAAAAATTACTTAACGCCGATCCATTTCAAATTGACTGTGAAAATAAGTGGTGTCATCTAACCGTGGCAGCCAGTAATAATTTGGAGGGAAATTTAAAAATCCCCTATGCCAAGGAACTTTAAATTATTATTTTTAAAATTACAAAACGCCAAGCCATTTTGAATTGGCCGCGAAAATAAAGTGGCCCCTTCTAATAGTGACGCTGGTAATAATTTTATCGTTAAATTTGGTGGGGAATTTAAAAATCCCCTATGCCAAGGCACTTTAATTTCACCGGTAATAAAAATTATACAAATTCCAAGCAATTTTAAATTGGCTGCCAAAATAAAGTGGTGCCATATACCGGTGACAATGAGAATTAAGACGGCCGGTATAAAAGAACACAATATTGCAAGGCAGGTAAAAATGGTTGAGAAAAAAATTACCAAATTCGAAGCAATTTTAAATTGGCCGCCAAAAAAAAGTGGCGCCATCTAGCGGTGGCAACGAGAATTAAAACGATCGGTAAAGAAGAACACAGTATTGCAACGCAGGTAAAAATGTGTGAGAAAAAAAAATTACCACATTGCAAGCCAGTTTAAATTGGCCGCCAAAATAAAGTGGCGCCATCTAGCGGTGAAAATTAGAACTACACCACATTGCAACGCAGGTAAAAAAATGTGTGAGAAAAAAAAATTACCACATTGCAAGCCAGTTTAAATTGGCCGCCAAAATAAAGTGGCGCCATCTAGCGGTGAAAATTAGAACTACACCACATTGCAACGCAGGTAAAAAATGTCGGTAAAACAGATTCCTACTTTACCGACCTCGGTCGGTAACTGCGCTAGAACCCGTGTTGCTATACTACTAAATTTTTATTTTTTAAAAATTTTTTACATTATATTATAATTTTAGATACTTAATATTACCAGAAAAAGAATTAACGACCCTAAACAACAATGATTTCGATGAGTTAAAATTTCATCGGTGCCTCCCCTTAAACTATTAAATTTTTTTGATTCAAAGAAAATTTTATTTTGAATGAAAGAAAACAAGTCAAAGAAATTGATTTCTTTAAATCAAAGAAATATTTTTTCTGGGTGTATTCCCTCAAATAAATCAAAAGATTATATAATCCTTAATTCTCACACCACAGGCAATTTTTTATAATGTCAAATGAAAAGAATAGAGTGGTAATATATTTAAAATTTTAAAAACTATCTGCGATTTTTAAAACCAGATGTGACTTTCTAAAGATATTTTTCTTTATCAGTAGTGAAACCAAAGTGCGTTAAATCTATTTACCAATGTAAAATTGTGACAAGTGCCAATGAAAACTGATTCTGGCATTTTCTGATGCAGAGCAGTCACTGCATTGAGTTTGAAGCCGCATTTAATTTTTTGAAACTTCAGTTGTGGAAAGAGTTCGAGAATTTTGGACCAAACAGCATCATACAAAAGTAAACTCCTATCGGTCATTATAACCCAAATTGCTGAATGAATCTATAAAATTAAATTTGAAAAATAAAATGACTAATTAAAAAAAATAATTTACTTTAAGATAAAAATAGAAAATCATTTACCTGTTCAATTTTTGATTCAACTTTTTGTACGCTTACAACGTAAAGGTGCGAAAATGGTGGTTTCACGGAAGGAAACTACGGTAATAAAATAAACAATTAAAAAGATTTTTAAAAGCATTTTTAATTTATTATTTTTAAAAATAATTGTAAATTTTCTTAAATCCCTACATTTTGATGAAAATTTAAAATTGAAATTTGTTTTGCACCTTGAAAATGTACTTTTTATTAAAACTTTATTTAAGCTAAAAAACAAAAATAAGAAAATCTAAATAGCTAAATTAAAAAAAAATTACCATTGTGACAAATCCAATACAATATTAAAATAAAATGCCGTCTTGATTAATATCAAATTTAAGAAATTTTTTTTTTAATTT